GATATATGTAAAGGATATTTTGCATGCTAATCGTGATTGTGAGATTGCAGCAAAGATTTGGCTGGATCTTGTTCAGATGTTGATAGAAAGATTTTTTCATTTGAATCTCAATGACCAGATTAAAACTAATTTGGAGAGAGGAGAGAAATGGTGTAAGCTGTTTGTAGTAACATTTTGGTGGCAATAGACTTGGGGGAATAAAATGCTTTGTGAGGATGGGTTTTTGTTAACTGCTGATACTTGTAGAGTCATTGAGCAGTACATTTAGCAATTGATAAATATGAAGGACAACTGTAGTTTAATTTTTTGAGGAAAATGTATATTGTTAATGATATAAAATAATATTTGTAAAAAATATAAATATTTAAAAATATAATATTGACATAAAAATATTTATATATAACGTCAAATTTCTACAAAATGGATCGGAATAAGTAAAGCTGAGGAAGCATCATAAATTTTTATTGTAAATAAAAAAATAGTTTTCAACTGTCTGCTAAACTGTCTTATTATCATCTATGATTTTTTATTAGTTTAGCCAATTTTGATTGAATCAATCACACCGCAATCATAATAAATTTATCAATCTTTTTATGTAACTGATCCCGTTCCTTTTTCTTTTTTAATCATGATTAGAAATTAACAATTTTATCAAGGGATGTTTAATTCAAATGGTTGAGAAAATTAAATTAACTTATCATGGGGTCTCAAGTTTGAGTTTTAAAATATACAGTCATGTTAAACAAATATATTAAAAGCATCATAAAAAATACTTGTGAGAGCGCTGTTAGTAATAACAGTCTGACATACGAGGTTCAGATTAGTTTGGACAAAAGGCTTTTTATAATACTGGGATGGAATAAAAAAATAAATCATTTTTTTGACACCATATTAAAATTAACTAATTAACTAATCTTCTTAATTGTGCACATGGATTGCATGTGCCACCGAATTCAAATTTTTGAAAATTGAGGATTTAGATTAACCTAAATCAAAGCCCGTATTTGAATTTTGAACTAATCTCTCCCCCACTTTCTGATCTGATTGTTGTCGCAACTATTTATGACATGAACATTATTAATCAATTTATGAACATTCGGTCACTTCAAAACTCAAAAAGTCTTTAAAAATTTTCACAATATGGAATCTGCCGAATAATGACACTGTGTATTTTTTACCAGCGAATAATAACACTCTATTAATTAATCAGAAATCAGAAATTGCATAAAAATTCTTTTTGTGCCAAAAAAGACGATGATTTTTGGTTAGGAAAATGGATTAAAACTAGGACAGATGTTGAGAATCAAAAAGGACTTGATAAATTTTGTGTAATGTTTTTTGAGTACTAAATCAATATTAGTGGATAGAAACTATAAAAATGTACTAAACAAAAAAATCACATAAAAAATCAATGAATTGTTAATTGGCGAATCTCCAACATTTATTATATGAATACATTGAAAATTTTTATTAATTAATAAATCAAACCTAGTAAGCTTCTTTGAAGTAAGAAAATCACAAATTCTTCGTAATTGGACGCTCAGAAAAATGGTTAAATGAATAGAAGGAATTATATTTTTTAAGTAAAAGTCAATGGTATAAATCATCTGAACTGAAGAGAAAATTATATTTAAATGTAGGAGTTGGATGCAAAGAAAAATTATAATTAAATATATTGTAAATGCAATTTTCTTTTCACTTCACGTATCCTTTGTAATAATTGGACAGTAGGTGAATTATTTGAAATATAATTTATTTTTATTTTTGTTGTTTTCCATTTAAAATATATTTTTATAATTTATTATCATACGACATAATAAAAGTCAATAAAAAAAAAGAATTTGCTCTGCATCAAACACCTACCTTTTTACATTTTTTGTAAATTTTTTATTATTATAGATTCCTTTTTATATTGGGTTTCCACACCGACCTTTTTTACTGTGTCTCTCACGTATTCGTCACTCTTTTTTACAATATAAATTAAAAAAAATAAAAATTACTACTCAAAAAATTATTTATTTAAAATATTATTTTGAGCTCATTTATTTAAAATAATTTTACATCTTAATTTACTGTATTGATTGATAATGATGATATTATCATATTGATATTATGACTGATTTTGATGTTAATATTGATTCATGAATAAAAAGTAAGTGTCTATAGAAAAAAGTAGGTATTACATGCACGCATGTTTCCTAATTGCAGTTATGGCCTGAATTTAAGTTAAAATATATTTTTAATTTTCTAATTTTTTATAAAACTTTAATTTAATTTTTTAATTTTATGAAAAAAAACTGTGTGGTTCATGATTCTACATTCTAGGTATATATATGAGTTTAAGTTTATGGAAATATTTTCTTCAAAACAGGGAAAAAGAAAAAGTAGAGAGAGAAAAGGGGGCTTATCAAGCGTGAGGAAAAGGAATTTATTATCACATTTAAATAAAGGAGAATGACATTAAAAAAAATCAAAACATTGAATTAAATAAGGATAAAAAGATTTAGAAATTCAAAATAAACATTACAGATCCTTCTGTGAGTTGGTCAAAAAAAATTTTTTATCCTCATACCATAATTTACAATCATTAAAACAAAAAAATTGCAAGTAAAATTAAAAAGAAAGTAGTTAAACATATTACTATTTCCATTAATTTGCTACTCTCACACTCTTGTTTGTAACCTTCAAAATATATTTTTTCAAGTAAAATTTTTTAATTGGTGAAGAAAAATAAATTTTCAAGTAATGATATATTTTATATATTTATGCTATTCAAATGAGCGAATTTCATATGCAATTTTTTGTTTGGAGAATTACAAATCATGGAATAAAAACATGAAATGATTTTTTAAAAGAGCTTATCCTTATTTAAAATTTCCACATATCAAATTCCCCCATTTAATTAAATATGATAGTAGCATTAGATTCCAAATAATTATAATATTAAAAAAAGAAAAATAGAAAGAAAAGAGAGGAGCATGGTTTGTTGGGCAGCAGGAGAATCTGGGAGTTGCGTGGTCGTAAGAGCGGCAGGGAGGCGCGTGGTACGAGCGATGAAAGGTACCGCCACGCTCGCAGCCCACACCCATTCATTCAATTCCCATATTCATATGCCACTTCCCAAGCCCCACACAACGGACAAATCACTCCACACGCTCACAAGAATCACACCAAACTTTATTATGGTTATTTTTTATTCCTCACATAAATGGAAATTTTATTGCATGGTCGGTACTAAATATAAATTTTTTTAAAAAAAACTAAATCTTAATTTCTCATGTCATGAAACTTCTATTACTTAGCCCAACTTTTATTAGTGCCAATCTCTATTATTATTTATAATTATTTATAATTACTACTCCCTCCCGTTTGTACATGCTCCTTTGTTACTAAATATCGACAAAATTTATTATTTGATACAGTTTAAAAAATTGATTAAACATAATTATATGTGAAATCAAATAATTTGGATTAAATTTTCCTTTTAATTAATGGAATAAATTTTTTTTTGAACATAAAATTTGATTTTATGAAGATGAATTTAAAAAATGTTATTTTTCAATAAAAAATGTAATAAAAGCTTATTCATTTTTGTAGTTTTTCTTTATAAAAAAATGAAAGTTATAATAGTTTTTCCTATAATAAAGAACATAGGGAGTATAAGTAATAAGTGAATTTCTTAAAAAAATGGTTGGTTATTTTAATAAGTCATTTTATAATTTGTATAGAAAGATAGATTATTAATCATTTTCTTTTAGTTTTACTATTTCATAATTTTTTATGCGGAGAGTGAAATATCAAATGTTAGAAAGAAAATATTTTTAAAGATAATGCATTTAATAAGAGTAAACTAAAACATTTCTTTCTTTTTCATATATATTAATCATTTAACTACATTTTTTTTAATTCTAATGAAATAATTAAAAGTGAATGACGTATAAAGCCAAAGGGCATCTCGCCAAAACCAATGATAGATAATTAAACTATTGATATTGTTTAAAAAGAAGGAAATCTCTTAACTTATTTCTATTAAATGCATCTTTTTTATTTTGTAAAAATGCATTCTCCGATAATATTTTTATTCTACTCATTAAAAACTACCAAATGGTACAATTGAAAAAAATATAATATCATCCCCTTTTTATACAAGATGACTTATAAAAAAATTATCAATTTTTATGAGATGACTTATATATAATAGTGAAGCTACGATATATTAAATCAAAAAAATTAAATATCAATGGGTAACAAATACTAATCAAGGCAAAGCTCCCGGGGACACAATTGTCTTTTCCGCTCTTGTCTCTCTCCCCCACTCTCTTCTTCCTCTTCCCTTTTAAGGTTCTCTCGCTGTGGGGCCGCGTGCCTGCTCTAACTGAAAACGACTGCAAGCAACCTGTGGTCTACCTGTGTAGTATATGCATGTATGTATGTATTTTGTCTATATCCTGATCTTTTCTCACCCTTCTTTTTCCTTTTAATATTTCTTCCCATTAATTTCTATTATTATTTATGTGTTAATTGTTAAATATTAAATTAAAATTATTTAATATTAAAAATTTATTATTCAAAAAAAATTCTTAGCTTATTTTTTAAGAAAATTAATTACCTCGTTTCTGGGAAAAAAACTAGACACTTTTTCTTTTCCATATTATTAAAACAAAAAAAAATTTAAATATTTTTTTTGTAACTTATTAATATTCATATATACTTAAAAATTTCTTTTAGTTATATCAGGAATGTCTGGGTCCTAAACCTTTGCTGTATCTCATCTCATCTCATCATTCTTACGGCCTAAATTAGGCACCATGCTGACGATAAAATCATATGCAATAACTTTCTAAATTTTTAATTAAAAATCTTAACTTAATAAAGAGATCTAATAATGTTCTTAATTAAAATTTCATGATTTTTACTTTTATAATTCTTTTTAAGATATCAGAACGATACACCGACTCAAACCCACTGCAGCAGATTTCTCTATATAAACTCTTCTCCTCCGCTCTTCTCTCTCTCTCTCTCCCCCATCTCTCTCCTTCCTGCAGATTTCTCGTCTCGTTCCACAATCTGCTTTCTTCCTTCCTTTCTTTCTGTGGCCGTGGCTTTCATTTCTCTCTCCTTCTCCTCCCAAATCGATTGAAATCCTCTTTCTCTGCCACACTTTCGTCTTCTAGTTGTGTTTTCGTCAATCTCTGTGTGTTTTGGGCGCACAACAATGGTAGATCTTCAAACTGTTTGCTGCATGTGCGGTGACGTCGGCTTCCCTGACAAGCTTTTCCGATGCAGAAAATGCCGACATCGCTTTCAACACTCGTATGTTCATCGATTTCTCTCTTCTTCATATCTTTAATTTGATAGGAGCTAAGCTATCTTCTTTCTGAATCTTCCTTCTTGTTTCTATCGAATATACGCGTATTCATGTAAAAAGCCGAGATGCACGATGATCGCTACTGTTTAATGTTATTATTTCATGGATGAATCAAGCTTCAGGTTCGATTTGATTTACTCAATCGATTCGTTAATCGGTGTTCTTGCAGGTATTGTAGTAACTACTACGGCGATTTACCTGAGATCGAACTGTGCGATTGGTGCCAGAGCGAGGAGAAGAACACCAGACATAGTAAGAAGCCGGCGGCCGCCGCCGCCGCCGCCGGGAGCATCGATGTTGGTTCCACCAACCGGTCGGAATATTCCGGCAGCGAGAGAATCAAGCAGCAGCATCATGATCGCGAAGAGGGCGGATGCTCCGATAAAGGCAAGAGCCCGACTCCATCGCCCCGACCCACCACCCGCAGGTACAAGCTTCTCAAGGATGTTATGTGTTAGAAAAAGATCAGGGAGAAAGATGAAAACTGAAAGGAACCAAAATCAAGGAGATGAAGAAGAAGAAAACTAATATATAGGCGACTTTTTAATCTCTGCAAATGTGATGTTTAGCTTTGTTAATATAGTTAGCTTAATTACCAAGAGTGTGTCTGTGTGTGTGTGTGTGTATTATGAATGTTATTAGTTACTTGTCTTTGTTTTTGAGTGGCTTTATCAGTAATAAAAAACTGTGACTTTTTTCCACTAGCTCTCCCTCTCCCTATATAGTATATTTATATCTTAGAGTCATATATATAGTTAGATTCAGAGAGAAAATGACCCAAGAAAATATAACTGTACATATATAGATTCACACCATATATTATCTATCTGAATACATATTGTACATGCGCTAAAATTAGATGTTTTGGACTATATTTGTGTGTGTTTTATATGGCATGATCGAGTTTCACATCTTTCTTATTTGAGCCCAGTTATGACTGTTTCTTTCACTACATAAAATCATGTTTAAGCTCGTGTTTCACACTTTTCTTTAAAATTTTAAAATCATGGGTTTGGATCAGTTGCATGGTACATGTGATTTGTGAAAGTGGTCTCGTGCATAAAGTATTTGGATAGAAAACTGATATTTAATAATATATAAAATAGAATCCAAAACGGAGACGCAAGGGTTAATTAACTCATCACCTGATGAAGTTTGATTAATGACGGATTATTTAGGCCTTAGGGTCTAATCTAAGGTCTTGTTTAGATAAAAGCTAAGTAAAATTATACACGAGGATTAAAGTCGATTTGCTTCGCTCCTAGCTAGTTTTGGCTTCTCTTTTCCTTAGATATGACTACATATCGATACACAGGAACCTACATCCTTGAACACACACACACACACACACACACAGTGGTTATTGTAATACATGAAGCTATATGTTGGTATCTTAGTTCTATACTTGTATTTTAATTTTTCATAAACTATATTATAAGATTATTTTAATGATCGTATGAAGGATCCGAAGGCTTGGAGGTGATAAACATGGCCTTTATTTTAATATTATTATTTTCTCTAAAATTTATTTTGTGAATGAGTAGTGTGTTCTGGAGGAGAATTGAATGCAATGGGTTGCTTTGAGGCCAAGAATTCATAGTACCTGAAGGGTCAGCTATAGCTGTTTCAGATTCATTGAAGACCTTTAATTAACTGCGTGGCCCGCTCTATTATTTGTCCATGTCAAACAAAACCATAATCTCTTTTCTTGTGATTTTTTACTACTTCCTAGATACTATTCCTTTCCCTTTTTTTTCAAGGAAAAAAAAAAAAGGTTTTGCCAACTATTACCTGTAGAGCAAACAATATCAACATAAAAATATAAAATTTGTTTTCTTCATGTTTGGTATAATTTTTTTGCCAACCCTTAATGTTTGGTGTATGAAAAAATATGTTTGGTTTAGTTCTTTTTTAAGTTAATTGCCCACCATATTCACTTAAAAACTAATTAATGATATAAAATATAAAATCCACGGTACAATAATTTTTTTTATTTTCTCGTACTTTGTATAGTACATGAAGAATGATCATGTCTCTGGTTAGTTTAATTCTTGAATTACAAATACTTTTATAAAGGAAAAAAATTATATACTTAACTTTATATAATTAATGTGTTTGTTTTTAACTAAATTAATTCATATGGATCTTTTATATGTTAGTTATTTTATAATAAATTTTTTTATTAATTTTATTAATATATAAAGATTTATTTGTTATAATTTAATTGGATATAAGTATATTAAATATTAAATATGTAAAATTAAATACATAAGTTGTATCCATTTATAGACTTGGTAATTAATAAAGTTGCAGATGATAGTGATGAGAAAGTAATGGTTAGGAGTAACGTAATTTTGCGGAGTATTTTTTTTAAAAAAATTATTTAGAAAAGAAAGGGAAGAGGTTGGTGTTGCCGTTATGGTGAAGACTGAGTGGGTGGATGTTTCTAGGCCATTCATTTATAAGTGTATCATTATGAGTGAGTGACTGAGACTTTTATTTATTATATAATTTTTATTTGATTTTTGGTGAGGGGCGAAAGAAATTAGGTGCAGGAACAGTGTTGACGGATAGAATGATATTAGAATGAGAAGCATCTGAAAAGTAAAGAAGCCGATAAGGCTTACTTGCCTGTTGCTGTTTTGGCCATTTATGAGTAACCAGCAAACCAAAAGCCCTTTCCGCTTCCAACTCAACTCACTGAGTCAACTCATACCCATTTCTTCAAATCTAAACCCTCTTCTGCAACAACCATATTCTGTTTATAAGGTATCATGCGAGATATTTATCATATCTTTTTATATTACTCTTGTTTGATGCTGGTTCATTTTTCTAAAGTTACACTGTTATTAAATAAAAGCAAAATAATTTTTTTTTATTTTCAGACAAAATTAATGAATTGTATATGTCTCTCTTTAGAGTGTGTTTAGATTTCAATCGAAGAAAAATGATTGTGAAAACAATTTGATCAATATAACCTAATGATGTTTGGATAATATTTTTTAAAATTAGTTTTTCAAAATTAATTTACCAAATGGAGAAAAAATAGCTTTTGCAATGAAATTTCAGGAATCAAATGAGTTTGAGAAAATTGAGATTATTTGGTTAGTTTATGCAAAAATGAAATCTCTGAAATAAAATGGAGTTTGAGAAAATTAAAGGTTTATCTGAATGATTTTGTTTTTCCAAAACCATGATTTTGGCCCACATAATTTATTTTAAAAGGGTATCCAAACAAACTTTGAGTTCTTTTGATAGTGTTGAAACTAAGAGTTTCTTATAAAAAGAATTGAAATGTGCACTCTCTTTGATCTTATTTTTAATGTTATTACGATATTTTTCACATACTTTTTGCAAAAATTATTATATTATTTCATTTGTTAAAAAAGAATATCTCAACTTTTTAATTATGTTGTTATTTTTTCGCCAAACAATTATATATGTTGTTATTACTTAGAGGAAGAGAAAATATATGCGTTATTTTATTATTTGTACAAATATTGTTCTAAATTAAAGGATAGAATTAAAAAATTACATAATCTTTTTTATTGAACTTTATAATTAGCATCACTTTTTAGTTTTGTAAAATATCTTATAAACGGATAAGAGTAGTAGTTATTATCAATGTTTCTTATATCAGAGAAAAGTTCAGCGTGCGGATATTGACTTGAAATTTCATATCATATACAGTCAAATTATTTTTTTCTATTTTAAAAGAAAATTACATAAATGCAGGGAATTCAGTTGTATATCCAGCCATCAAATCAAGTCGATCATTTTTAATTTTTAATTTTTATTTCCTCTTGGAATATCGCCCTCCCAAAAATAACCTAGAATATGCGTAGATAATCTAAAATCATTTTGAGGCTATAAATACCAACAGGAGAACGTTAGTTAAAATCTGCAGGTAGCAGTTTTTTAAGACGCAAGTCTTCTAAAACATGATATATAACACGTTTAATCTGTGAAAATATTTATATTTTTTAAATACTAATTTATTTAAGAAAATTGGAGTTCTTAAATAAAATTCTTCCGCTAAAAATAGAAAACTGAAGAAAAGATGATTGAGCCAAGGAAACTAGTCAAACTACTTATATAGCAGAAGACTGAAGTTCCACCAACAAGCAAAGCATGTGTTTTGAACAACGTTTTCATAATCTTGAATTTTGTGAAGTCTTTCTAGATAAGCAATTTTTTATTTTTGGGTAAAATCTAGATAAACAATTTTAAAGTCAGGTTGCTTCCAATTTCTAAATGCCGGTCTATTCTAACTGTCCATGTATTTTCAAAATATCTCGCGCTGTATAATGATGATGATCTTCCTAAAAGTATTTCTTTGTGAAACAAAATCAAATCAAATCAAATCAAGTCAAGAGTTTGAGCGCATGTTTGGTTTCAGTCTTAAAAAAAATTGTTTTTAAAATATAAAAATATTTAAGTAAGTGTTTTAAAAGGCCTAACTAAGACCTAGCTCCTTCGTCTTTTTTTTTTTTTTTGAAATCCTTCTTCTACTCATATCTCACCTCAATTTGTACAAGTTTTTACAAGTAAAATGTGGATCTCATAATAATTTACATGGAATTTGAAATATAAACTATATTTTCTGTTATGAATTATAATATATATTTAGAGAGAGAGAGAGAGAGAGAGAGAGAGAGATTAGACGCATATGAGTATACTTCCTCCGTCCAGTTTATATATGAGATATTTTTTTGGAAAAGTTAAAAGTATCAATAAAATGCATTAGATTTACTTCATAATCTTATTTTTATTTAAAACACAAATATAAATTTTTTAAAAGTATTTTTAATTTAATATAACTTTATTTGTGAAATATTAAATAAAAAAGGAAGATAACATAAGGAGGGAAGGATAATATTAAAATAAGTATAATTAGTTAATTATTTTATTAAAGTGTCTGATATCAAATCACTTTTAAAGGTATCTTGGAGAAGTGCCTCGCCTCTCTCTTATAATATTCATGCAAGCTCAACATTTTTCATTTTTTAATCATATAAAAAATGCAGTATTATATTATTAAAACTATGAAATAAAAGAAATGTAAGACTACGTTCACACACCTAATTTATTATAAATGATATACATAAGACTTTTAAATCCATGGCATATTAATTTAACTTGAGTGGCTATGCACAATTCCCACATGATTGGATAACTTTATACAGAAGCGAGATGAGAATCAAACTTTATGAATATCACATGTTTATACAAAGGCCAAATATTCTACAATAGCTAGTATCCTCTGATATAACAAAAAAGTTAAAGAAGAAAAAAAAAAGCGAAAAAAGAAAGAAAGAAAGACACATCAACTTTAATTTGTCTCCTTTTTCCTGCGCAATTCCTTTGTTTCTTCAGTTTCAGCCACCAACCATGCATTGCCCTTTTCTTCTTCTCATGGATTATTATCATCACCTTCGTGTTTTTTCAGATTCTCTTGAGATTTTCTACGTACTGCTTCTTCTTCAGAAGAATCTGAGGGAGCAAGCTTGCTTTATTAATAAGTTACACATAAACGTAGTCCTATATATAAATCTCAAAGATATATATTGAGATTTATATATAAAAGCATTGAATTTGAATTATTTTTATGAAAAGGCAAGCATATTAACAAATAAAAAGAAAAAGTAGTTAAAATGGATTTAACAAAACGACTAGCAAAAGTAAACGTGGGAATAGTAGA